CTGTACCGAACTTTCTTGGCAAAGTGATGTCTCTGCTTTTTAATATGCTGTATAGATTTGTCATAGCTTTCTTTCCAAGGAGCAAGTATCTCTGAATTTCATGGCTGCTGTCCCCATCTGCAGTGATTTTGGAGCCTAAGGAAATAAAATCTGTCCATGTTTCCACTTTTACCCTTTCTATTTGTTGAGAAGTGATGGGACTGGATTTGTAACAAATTCAATAAAGACTTTTTTTTAAATGTAAAAATGATACAAATTAACTCTTTTTAAAGTTACTCCGAAAAATATTACATCATCAGAAACCCTTTTCATTGTTTTTATCTGAAAATGTATTTCTAGATTCCCTGTGATTCAAGGAATTTTCCAGAAAGCTCTAGCTCAAGACCACGGTGTTTAAAGCCTAAAGATATCAGATAACATCCTGTAAACCTAAGGAAATTTATTTCCAGAATCTGTCAGCTCAATACACTCACTACTAAGAATGCTCCAACTTGAAATAATGAATTTTTATTTCTTGAGATAAAATAAAAATTTTCACTCTGACAGAAACAAAGGGAGGAAAGCAACTTGCTTTCAGATACTGAGAAGTCAATGGTGGAACACCTCTCTGTTCCTTTCTTTAGTTTAATATTTAAAAAACACAGAGCAACAGAGACATAAACTTCAAACATACTCTTATTATGTAGTCAGCCTTCCTCAAGGCAGTACTAAAGAAAGATGCTTACATCTGGATTGATGCCTATTTGGGCAGTTAAATTTTAAAATAATACTCACCTCTCCACACTCCCCACAACTGCTGCCTTCCTTTTGAAAGCAGGATGAAGCTTCCTCCCACCAGCCCTCACCTTCAGACCCTCGCTTCTCCAGCCCAGCCTCCACGTCAGCGCCAAGGCAGGCCTGAGCTTGCTCACCTTGCCTGGTTTTGCCCCCACACTCCATGTTTCCCCAAGTCTCCAAGCTTGGCTGTTTGCTCTGTATGAACACTTCCTGTCCTTAACCACTCAGACACCTTCTCCTTCTCTCCAAGGGGTCAGCTCAAGAGTGACTTTCCCTGTGGGGGACCATCCATTCAGTTCTCTCCAAGCGAAATTAGGTGTTCTTTCATGTACTCATGACACTCTCACAGAGTGATCCTATAATTACAATGCTTCTAATTCACCATTGGACTATGAGATCATTGAGGCTGGACTATGTCTTATTGATCATTATGTCCTAGCTCTTAGTGATGTGCTCCTTGGCACATACAGATACTCAAAAGCATTTATTGAAATGGATCCATAATGTCATTTTAGGGCTGCAAAAAGTATGGAAGATCTGGGACAGCCTATACAATCTGAGATCTCTGAGCAACATAGCTACAAACACTGAAAGAACCAAAAAATCTGATTTAGAGATTTATGTTCCTTTACTTTCTCATTTTTAATATATTCAGGCTAGCAGCGAAGCTAAATAAAAGTGAGAAAAAATTAAGCTGGGTAGTTAAACAGGATTACTCAGATTATTGTGATCTACATTTTTTAAGGAAATGTATTAACACTTAGAGTAATAACAAAGAATACTCACATCATGAGATCATACAGTTTAAAATTTTATTCAGCATACATTTTTCAGATCATTTTCTATATACCAGACAATGTTCTAAAATTATCAATTCATTTAATTCTTATAACAGCCTGAAGAGGTCATCATGGCAAACTTGGAACTTTCTTTACTGTCTTGTGATATTGGCCTGACTCCTCCCTATACCCAGCAGAAAGATTTGGAATTGAAGAAAATAATATCAACAAAACAAAAAATTCTTTTCAAATATCCTAAAAGGTATCCAGAGATCTAATGAAGGAGGTCACATCAAAATGAGTATTGCAATCTTCAGCATCTTTAATGTGCTTGTAAAAAGATAAAACACATGATACTTTGAATATTTTAGTGAATTTTTGCATGACATTGGAGTATTGCATATTTAAAATAAATCACTTGATAAACCCTGAACAGCAGGGTTCCAGAAATGGAATCCTTACAGGACCAAGATAAATCCAGGCTCATCATATCATAAAACAGGCATCAGAACAAAATCTTAAAGACATTCTCGTTTCTCCTTATTGACACTTTTAGTAAAGAGTGATGGTTAAGTGCAGGTAGAAGATTTAAAAAGAGCAGATGGAAGTGTGGACAGGTTAAAGTGCCACACGGTGAAAGCTAATGGCACTTAGTACAATGGAATAACGCATGATGTCCATACTTATGGACTGTCAATGGCAAGGAATTTGCAGAAGTTAACGAATAAAGGTTGAAACTAAAGTTACAGCAACTTTTCCCATTTTGAAAAGATTAATACAGGGAAGTGGGAAATATAGATATCATTAAATCAAAGGAACACATTATACTACATGACCTTGTTAGCAGATTTATGTCAGTAACCATGAATGAAGCCACAGAAGGCCTGCTTGTCAAATTTACTGATGACATCAGCATTCAAGAAGATTTTGTTAAGCCTCAAATTAACAAAATTAAATTAATTTATGCCTTTACCATTTGGGTAAAGGTGACATGTCACCTCTTCACCCAGGTCTTTTTAACCATCTATTCCTAAACTGGACTTTGAAATTCTCTACTCACTTCATCAGTTTGATTTTCATCATGGCACTTATCCTTCCTCATAATTACCTTAAGTAGTTACTAGTATTTATTTATTTCTTGAGTATTTGCTCAAATATTATTTATTTCTTAAGTATTTTTATTAAGTATTTATTAATACATAAAAGCATAAACCTTGTTCAACTTGGGTCACTGGTTGAAATGAAAGCATCAAGTAAATATTTGTCCAAAAAAATACCTATCTATTCATTTCTCTTAAAAATAAATTTGACTAGTGCAAATTGGAAAAAGACCACCATAGTATTTCTTGTGAAACATGACACCCATTGAATAATAAAAGCATCAGGCTGGGATCAGAAGACAGTTTTGTCACTGATACCTCACATTTCGTAAATCACTTAATTTCTCCAGGAACAGGTTTCTCGTGTGTAAAACTGGGCTAACAATAGCCAGCTTTTCAGGCATTTTTACATTTATGTGCTTTAAAGAATTTTGTAAACTGTAAAGTACAGAACATTTATGAAGAGTTATGAGTGGAGGTGGGATAGGTATCTTAACTAAACACTAGTTATGAATTAACAGTGTCTTGTGACTTTTGAAAGAATTGATTCCAAACATTGGTTGCATCCAAAGAATAGTTTAGATTTTGTACTGGCAAAACAGATTATTGCATTTCCTTCTAGTTGCATACTCTGCAAGATATTGACAATTGTCCAAAGACCAGGCCAAGGTAGGTTGTGGAGATAGTGTCACTTGGAAAACAATGAGAATAATTGTGGAAATAGTGAACAAAGGAAGCGTGGAAGGGGATGTGGGAATTGTGATGCTTATTTTGGGTATGTGAAGGATTGTCATGTGGAAGATACATTGCAAGTAAAGATGCAATAAGATGCAAACTAGGAATTAGGAGTGAAAAACTGAGAAAGACAAATGCTGGTTTAAGACCTTATTTTAATGTAAGGAAGAGTTTTCTAAGCTTTAGAGCAGTCATATGATGGTAGAGGTAGTAAATTGTGGTGGTCACATCTCCACAAACTAGATAGAGACACATAAACAATATTATCAGAAGACTTTTAATATTAAACTGAAGTTCAGGCTAGATGATTCCAAGATCCTACCCAAGTCCTGCATTGTAATCAATCCAATGCAATACTCCTATCATGAGTATTGAAAGTGAAAGGATCATGAACTCAAGCTCTGACAAATCCCCAAGTGCTACTCTTAGAGACAAATCAACCCATGAGACAGTGGCAGGTGACACCAGTCCTGAGTCAATGAGAAGAAAGAGCAGCCAGGTGTGGGGTTCCCCAGAGAGCTCACCGCAGCCTGTGCACCATACCATCCTACAGCTGTTTGCTGTTGTTTAGTCACGAAGTCATAGCCCACCAGGTTCCTCTGTCTATGGGGTTTCCCAGCCAAGAATAGGCCTGGAGTGGGTTGCCATTTCCTTCTTCAGGGGATCTTCATGACCCAGGGGTTGAACCACATCTCCTGCATTGGCAGGTGGATACTCTACCGCTAAGCCACTAGGGAAACCCACGTCCTACTGAGAATCCCTTTAATGTTGTGGGTTAATGTCCTTCAAGGATTTGCTGCTATATTTCACAAGACACTTGCTGTTGCAAAGACCAATTCCAGTTATATACGAATATCCTTCAATTCAAAAATGATCTCCAAATCGTTTGAGGAGCAGGGAGGAGGAGAGGAGCAGATACCTCAAAGATGCAGCAAGTGCTAGGTTGGCAGAGCCAAGCAAATGTTGCCTGAAATGACTTATGCATCCCCCAACTTGAGGAACACAGTGACTGCCCCTCATCCCTTTCTATTTAAGTGTCCCAGAGAAAAACATAGGCACATCCTATGTTAACTCTCTGTTGCCAGGCTTCATGTCCGGAGATCTACACTTGAGACATGCAGGGCATTGGGCGGGGGCGGGGGGGGGTGGTGGTGGTGGGTGGCTGGTGGGGAAAGTAGAAAAGAGGGAGATGGAACCCACGGAGACACAGGTTGACATCATTTTTCCCCCCCTCCTTTAGTCCTAGCTCTCCAGGGCGCAGGAGGAGGCTGTGGGCTGCGGACTCCGCGCTGGAACCAGGAGTCATTGAGCCGGAGCCCAGGGAGCGTCCCCTCCCGGTGTCCCTACTGCAGCCTCCGGCTGGTCCCTGGATGCTCAGCCTCGCTGCCTCCTGGTGCAGCATCTCCTGCAAAGACAGCCCCAGCGCCGCCGCACGGGGTGCCCGGTGGGCGCGAGACTCCGAGGCATTGGCTCCGTAACTTTTCACGTCATTTTCTGCTCCGGATCCCCTGGCAGCCGGTCCGCGCCTCCTCCCGCCTCAGAGCGCGGCGCCCATGGGGCAGGGGCCGAGCCGCTTGCAGCACTGAGTGGACCCGGGCTGGAGCCAGGTATGTCCGGCACCAAAGTGGAGGACTCCCCACCTTGTCGCAACTGGTCATCTGCTCCGGAGCTGAACGAAACTCAAGAACCCTTTTTAAACCCCACCGACTATGACGACGAGGAATTCCTACGGTACCTGTGGAGGGAGTACCTCCACCCCAAAGAATACGAGTGGGTCCTGATCGCCGGCTACATCATCGTGTTCGTGGTGGCGCTTATTGGGAACGTCCTGGGTGAGTGTCGCCCCGGGCAGCCCCCGCGGGGGCCGCCACGTCCGAGCGCCCGGGGCTGGCAATACCCCTCCTCCCCGAGGCATGCCATGCACACAAAGAGGTCGCTGCTCTCGGGGTGGGGTTATTTATTTATTTATTCATTTTTCAACAGAAGTTTTTGGGTTTTAGGAACCAGAACCGAGCCCTGGAATGGTGATCCTTTATTTCTGCAGGGAGGCGCGGGGAGCCGCGTTGCCTTTGCGATCACCTGGGTTCCCAGCGCCAGAAGAGCGGCAGGGCTGTCCAGGTGGATGAGCCGGAGTGTGGGAGCAATCAGTCATCATTCTGTGTCACGTGGCCGTGGCCGGGTGTTTGGGGGGTCCTGGGGGGGAGGACAGTCTGGTAGGATGCGAAGCTGTGTCCCTAAGGGAAAAGCTCTCCTGGGCTGGGGGAGTCATGAAAGATTTGCGAGCCCGGTACAGCGTCCTTTGGCGAGAGAGGGTTGAGGCTCTGTCGAAAGGTGGTAAGGAAAGGGCAGGGAGTGGGGACGCAGGCAAAGCACGAAGGTGTGCTCATGCACAGAAGCTGAATTAAAAGGGACCCGTGCCGCTGGGAGCGAGCAGGAGGGAGGAGGGGCCTCTGAGAAAAGTACCAGGGCGATCAGGATCATTCATCCATCCATCTACCCCATCCATTCATTCATTTATCTACGGTACGCATGTATTTTCCAGAGCATGCTCCGTTTCCAGGCTCGGGAAATATTTGCTACTGATTTTTCCACCCTCCCGCCCCCCCCCCTCCCCCCCAAAGCTGAGACCACGCTTAGTGCTAGGTCCTCACTGTTCCTCTCTGTCTGGGTTTGTATGTAAACAGACATTTCTTCTCCCACTTTACACCTCTGCACAATTTCTGAGGGTTGGCGGGGAGTGCAGTGGCGAGATGGTGGCTGTTGTGATGGAGTTTATTAGGGCAGCTGGAAACGGACTTTTTAAAAAAAGCAGCTTTGGAAGGGAGGGTGGACTGCACATGAATTGTGAATGGAAGGAGCGTCTACCTTGATGAATGGAGAGAGAGTGGGAGGCGTTTAAGTGCAGAGGGCAGTGTGGAGGGAATCTCTGTGGAAAATGACAAGAGAGAAGACAGGCTAGGAGAAGATGCTCTTGATTACAAAAAGGCGGAGAGGGTGAGTGAGGTGGAATAGGCTGGGAGGCACTGAAGTCCAAAACACAGACTTTGTAACTGCAGTGGAGGCTGATAAGAGACTTACTCAGCTCTCAGCACCAGCTTGGTTTTAACCTTCTCTCCCCAAGGGTGTCAGACTGGTAAGAAGCGTCCACTGTCTTCCCTCACCTATTCAGGGACAGAGTAGCTGATAGGTGACTGAAAGGCATTCCTCAGAGCAGGTAGAGTATTATTTGATAAGAAATATAAGAACCCTCTGAAAACTTTAGTTGGCCCTGTCTACATGTTCTTTCAGCCTGTTTTAATTTTGCTGCTGTTTTAAAAGGCAAACATAAAGGAAATCTTTCGAGTATGTAAGTTAGGTGGATGGAGGTGGAAATACACATTATTAGGGCTATCTGTTGTAAGGATAAATCTGTTAATCATAATGCTATGCTTTTCTTGTTTCCCTTATTGTCTATCCTTAAAACTACAACAATTAGTATATGTGGCTACTAGCAGAGCAACATTTTACTGCATTATGCTAATACTTAATGATAAATGAATAATCAAAATTGAACATCTGTTGAGTACCTACTGTGTGCCAGACACCTTCACATATGCTCTCCATATGCTCTCACTTAAACCTAAGAGTAACCTACATTTAAGAGAAGAAGCAAGAATTAGAGAAATGAAATGAGTTTTTAAGGAACTTGATTCAGATTTGGGTCCATTTCTTCTGACCTCGGTCCAGAATTCACCACTGTTATTCCACTGTAGATTTAGAAAGCGTGTAGAGAATGAACTCTTTGCCCCTGGTGTCTGCCTAGGTCCAGTATTAATAAATTACCATGAAGGGTTAATTGTTCTGTCATTCTCTCCAACAGAAACCCACCCGGAGAGGAACTTTATTGCATTGCAGTACAATTTTGACATTTTGCAGAATGGCTACAAATCACAGCTATTTTTCTTTCAGGCTTAACCTCTGTGCTAAAATTTGCTCCTTTTTGCTGTTATGTTACTCTAGCTTGCACAGACCTGTGATGCATTATCTTCGTATCCTAATTGCATAGTTTAGGAGTGCGTGTTGGCTAGTCCGAGGAGTGTTTTATTCTCAATAAGGAAACACCTCTACAGTAGGCTGCTTGTTTGGTAACACCAAGGGACAGAGCACTGTCCACAACCCTAAGTGCCGAAACGGCCAATTTTATTCAGCTTGAAACAAATAAACAAACAAAAAAGACATACAAAAACCACTCTGTTTTCAAAAAACTGACAGCTGTTTTCTTCAGGACTGGATGGCACTGAAATCTTCTCTGGCTGAACTGAAACCCATATTCTTTACTGATATATCCCCTGAAAGTTGATGAGGTTGAAGTTTGACATTTAAGCAAATGAGAATCATCATTACTCACAGACAGCTTCCTGCTCTTGGAAGTCTGTGTCAAATTTGCAAAACAGATTAGATTGCCCCTCCACCCCATCATATGTCATTTTATGCAGAGTGGCAGTACAAGAAGTCACATTATTCATTCAAGATAAAGAGGCAACATTAGGTATGAAGGTGAAATACCACAGCCCAGGCAGCAGATGTAATCCCTGACCCTTCAGGTCCACTTACCACTTGTACCTTCATGTAACTGAAAAGTACTTGGAAAACCTCAACCTTGTTGAACTTACAAAGAGAATGTAATCAGTTAGAAGTCATTACTCCCGCAGTGTCCTTTTGTGACCGGAACGACAACATCACTATCATACCGCCTATTTTCCTGCTCTCCATGGTACCTCTCTCATTATATATCCTCTCCATCATCAGAAGCTTCTTTCCCAAGATAATAAGCAGTTTCTTAGGGAAAATGTTGACAAAAGTCATTCAAAATAAGGCAAAAAATTAGTCTACATGAAGTTTCATGATTATACACATGCTAATCAAAACATGCTTGTGTGTGTGTGTGCAAAGTCACGTCAGTCGTGTCCAACTCTTTGCACCCTATAAACCATAGCCCATCAGGCTCTTCTGTCCATGAGATTCTCCAGGCAAGAATACTAGGGTGGGTTGCCATGCCCTCCTCCAAGGGATCTTCCCAACCCAGGGATCATACCCACATCTTTTGGGTCTCCAACCTAGGCATGCAGGTTCTTTACCACTAGCAGCACCTGGGAAGCCCAGTAAAAACATACACATGTCTAATTATAGAATTATAAGTCTTAGAAAGGAAGGTGATTCTTAGTTTCTTTTTGGAGGTAGTGTTTTTCCACTATCTTCAAAATTATGTCACATATAACCTATTCCTAAATATATCTTGTACTTTAGCCAAGTAGCTGCATTCAATTATTTGACCAGTACATCTTGAGCAATGCTTGTTGTTGTTCAGTCGCTCAGTCCTGTCTGGCTCTTTGCGACCTCGTGGACTGCAACACACCAGGATTCCCTGTCTTTCACTATCTCCCAGAGTTTGCTCAAGCTCATGTCCACTGAGTTGGTGATGCCATCCAACCATCTCATCCTCTGTCGTCCCCTTCTCCTCCTGCCTTCAATCTTTCCCCACATCAGGGTCTTTTCCACTGTGTTGGCTCTTCGCATCAGGTGGCCAAAGTGTTGGAGCTTTAGCTTCAGCATCGGTCATACAGCAATGCTTTGTTTTTAAAATTCCTGTGTTTGTGGGGAGAAGGTACTTGGGAACACTCAAGAGAATATGTATATATTTTTTTAATCATTCCTACTACTCCTTGAGTACAAACTGGATGGAGAGATGGGTTCTAGTCAGTTCTGGTTTTAAATATCTGAAGGAAATGAGTAATTCTCTGCTTCTATTACATCTGCATTCAAATATATGATTTCCACCTGAAGTGCTTTTGTCTTCCCTGTTGTCATCTTCATATAAAAAATGAGGAGAACATTCAATAAATGACATCAGTCCAGCTGTGCATCTCACTTCTTTTGTGTGGCCATTAGTGAAACTGTCAAACTTTCCAAGTCTGTTTTATCCAATTGAAAATCATGATTTATAATTACTGACTTGACTCAGACATAGAGAGCAGACTTATGGTTGCCAAGAGGGAGAGGGTTTGAGGGAAGGATGGACTAGGAGTTTGGGTTTAGCAGATGCAAACTATTGTATGTAGATGGATAAACAACAAAGTGATACTGTATCCTATGATAAACTATAATGGAAAAGCTTATGAAAAACAATGTACTGATACGTATAACTTAATCACTTTGCTGTATAGCAGAAATTAACACAACATTGTAAATCAACTATATTTGAATAAACTACGCTTATAAAAATAAAAGCGAAATAAAAAATAATTCCTGCCTTGCAGAAATCCTGTGTGGATATATGAATATCCTACATAGAGATATATAGAGGATTGCACATATATATTTTTTTCTGGACACAGTATACACTAAATGCCAATTTCAATCTCTTCATTCTTACTAGAACTCTTTCCCTGGTGTGGTTAGTAGTCATCCCCTGCCTCCATGACCAGTCTGTAGTTTTGCCAAATCTTCATGGCCTCGATGCTGGTGTTTTCCTCAATTGAGTGTTTTCCTAGACGCTGTTAGTAACATGGCATTGGCATACCCATACTGCCCCACCCACTCACCCCCCCATCAGATGTTTATTGCATCATACTGTTTAACACTGCCTTCCCACTTCTGTGTGAAAGTCATTCGTAACCATCACAATAAGTTTCTCTTGGTTTACATTTGTATGCATTAGGTTCCATTCACTCAGAGTTTTTGAAGTATTAGTTGGCTGGTCTATCTGTATTGTTTTAAATAGAATGCACACACATAATATGTTGACCTAAAGCACACTGCCCATTAAGAAATGTATCCAATAAGAGTTAAACTA